GAGGGTCCTGAGGAGGCCGCTGGGTCCCCCTCCTCCTTCCAAAGAGGACTCTTAGTTTGTTACCTGTTTAGGATACGTAATTTTAAAACCTCCAGCGAGACCACCGGGCAGCCCATTCCTACGTCAGCCCTTCCGCATTACCCAGTTGCTCCGAGTCTCAGTTAACTCCGCGGCACAATTTGTCTCCCTTCGTGAAGCCTTGGAGGACTCTTCCTCACGCCTCTCTCCAGCCTCCTCCAGACTAAACAAACCCATTTCCTTCAATCTGTCCTTGCAGGTCGTGTTTTTCCGACACCTCTGCTCATTCTCACTGTGCTCCCCTGGACTCCCTCCAGCTCCTCCCAGAGCTGGACGGTGTTTGAGCCGAGGCCTTACCAGTATCCAGGAGTTATTCCTCGTGTCTGGCAAGCAGCACTCCTGTTTGTGCATTCCGTGGGGGTGTTTGCTTTTTTTTTTTAGTCTTCTCCTTTTCTTGCAACAATATGACTTTCTATTTTTGCTTCGTCACGACCCTTGGATTTCCATCTGAAAGCCCTCTGGAACTGCACCAAGTTACGGCCGGAGCTCTGAACCCTGACCCCAAGTCCCGCTTCCAGACAGAGCTTCAGGCTTCTCGCTGGAATATCCCGAATCCAAGACCCTTTGACCCAGGAGATGGGGAAGAAGAAAGCGAGCGCTCCGCACACCTGCAAGCCTCTTTCCTGGTTAAAAAAACCTTTTCTGGATATAAATTCCCCCAACTGACACCTGGGTAGCGGAGGTTCGGCTCGTAGAGGCTCTGAAGTTACAGCGATTGTCCCAGGAGCTGCGGAGTCAAGCGTTCGCTTTGAGTCCCAGCCCGAGGCGGGACGAGGGGAGGACGCCAGCTGCTGAGACAAGCCAGGCCCAGCGCTCCGCGAGAGAACTCGGGACAGCTGGCAGCGACACGCGGAGCATAATGTTCGATCTGGCTCAAACTCGCCTCCCGAGACCAGAGGCTGTGAGAGCTGGAGAGCAGCAATGCCGGCTTGCAGCTGTGGGAACCGAAGCAGCAAGCACACGAGGCCGGACACCAGGAAACAGCCCTCGCCTCGGGGTCCTCCGTCCACGGAGGGGCTGTGCGTGGTGGTTAACATAAGAACGGTTCCGTGGGACATGGAGAAAGGTGGTTTTATGCAAGAACTCTGGTGTCGGTGTAAAGATATCCAGCTTTCCCGCGGTTCTGATTTGTGCTGTCTCCTGTAAACCAGAGCTCTTGTCTTCCCAGAAAGTCTAAACGCTGCCCGAGACCCGCTGCTGCGAGCGGTCTGAAACGCCACCCCGATAACTGCGCTGTCCTAGGGCACCCCTCCAGAGACGCACTGTCAGGATGACACTTTCTTGCTTCCTTGCCTTCCTGGTATTGTTTAGACAGACATCTTTGTTTTCCTCCTACATGGCAGCTCCTCCTTCCAGGTAGGGCAAGAGCCACCTCCTCCGCAGCTCTCGCTGCTGGAATATCCTCCCAGTGCTCTTTTCCCTGGTACCTCTAACTTTTTGTGTTCCTCAAGAATCTCATTCCTTCCCTGCAGGGGAATTTTTTGGGGTATTTACCCCCTCCCCTCCTTTAAGTCTTAAATTGGAAGGCAAAACACGTAAGCCAGACCAGACCAGCAAGCCTCCAGAGCTGTGCAGAACTCGGTTAATTTAGTTGAACTCATTAGGAGATCTGTTGATATGGAGCTGCCGTGCCTTCACTCTGCAAATACTTGTGTTCTCGTGGAGTTTCAGGTGCACGGAACCCAGGACCGTGTCAGAAGCTTCATGTGCCAAGTGCTTCTGTGATTAACACCGCGATGGTGATTTTTAAAGCGCCTGAAGTATTCGTTTGAGTCTTGTCAGGCAATCACGGGATTGAACCTTGGCTTCTTGGTTCCAGGAAAACATTTCAGCAGATCACAAGTAGCTTCTGTCACAGACGGGCTTCCCACACGTTATTCCCAAAATCTCAGCCGCTCCCAGATTTAGCTTCCCCTCGTAAATGTCAGCCCTGCAAATGGAAATAATGAGGCACAGAGAAGTGAGCTGACTTGGGATTTATTTTTTTTTTTGCAGCAAACAACAGGTTTCAGGTTTGCCCAGCAGCAAGACGGTGCTTGGCCCTCGCTGTCCTCCGCCGGGGCGTTTCGACAGAGGGCTGCCGAGCGCTGACCTGACTCTGCTTTAGTTTCAGGGGTGCCCTTCAGACGCAGGAGCCACCATGAACGTGGGAACAGCTCACAGCGAGGTGAATCCCAACACCCGTGTCATGAACAGCCGGGGCATCTGGCTGTCCTACATCCTTGGCATCGGCCTGCTGCACGTCGTCCTCCTGAGCATCCCCTTCTTCAGCGTCCCCGTGGTTTGGACTCTTACCAACATCATCCACAACATGGTAAGGGAGCAGCGTGGCTGCCTTGGCTTCCCGGGGCAGGGAGAGGAAAGCTCAGCAGCAGCTGTTCTTCTGAGAGCAGTCTATTCAGATTCTTGCTGAAACAATTCCTTTCTCTCTATTTCCAAAGACATGGAGTAAGTTACTCAACCTCTACCCCTCCGACTGCCCCTTTACCTCTAGGTCAGGTCTTTAAATCCAGCCTAGGTAGTGACGAGACAGCAAACATCTGGTGAGGCTGCTCAGAGGGGACACTGAATTCATTTGCCCGCAGGGTAAGTCCCTCTGCCGTGTCCCCCTTAAGTCCCTCTGCCGAGTCCCCCTTAACGGAATAGCTGGGACAGGCCACAGATGCTGGCGTGGCAGCTTTCGCTTCGGTGGATACAATCCTGTTGCACTGAGGGCCATGGGTTACTGATGTTGATGTGGCTGGGACAAAGGTTGGACTCGATGATCTTGAAGGTCTCTTCCAGCTGAAACTGTTCTGTGATTCTATGAATCTGAACTGGCCTCAGAGTGCAAGACAAAACAAAAAAACAAGATTAAAATGCAAATTTTGTTCTGCTCAAAGTCAAAGATTAGTCCAGGAACAGATTCTCCCCTTCTAAGGATCAAGTACCCGAACGAGGGGGTACTTGATGGCCTCACCAGATGTGACAGCGGGAGCCGCTGCGGTGAAGGAGTCAGTTCTGCGTCTCCACCGTCCCAGCACGCAGGGCTCGGTGTGCTTGGGCCCTAGAGCTGGGGAGCAGAACTCTCAGTACAGGGGCGAAAATACTTCAGAGGTGCGGCAGTTGATTTTGTGTCCTTTATTTTAAATAACATCTCAGCCTGAGAATATTCCCGAGATAAAATGACACCCCTACCAGGGACCATCCTGCTAACGTCATTCACGTCTCTACCGCGGGGGGAAAAAAAAACGTCTCTACGGGGGGGGCAAAAACCAACCACAAAAGCACTGGGGCTCCCACCCAGCTCCTTCTCCTCCTCTGGCAGTTACTGAGGTCCTGGGAACAGACCGGAGTCGCGAGGCCAGCCCTTAATACACTCGCTGTTTATCTGGGACTGGTGTGGCGCTCCGAGAGGTTACCTGGTAATGGGAGCGGTGACGGATCCTCGCTGCCTGCAGCTCTGCCAGCGTGTTTTCAGCGAGCGTTTAGCACCGCTGTCACACGGCAGAGCGAGCCCACGCTAATCTCCTGATCCCAGGGATCCGAGGGCTGTAATCTTGCAACCACCGTCTTGGCCCACGCCCAGGAGCTGAACCAGAAGCCTCACGTGTCACCGCCAAGCCCGAGCTCGCCCGGCGGGGGGCTTCTTCATCCCCACTCCCCGCGCCCGCCCCCAGCCACGACGTCCCTCTAGCGGGACAGCGTGCTGGTGCAAGCCCCCGCGACTGGCCCTGCTCAAATTGAACATTTCTGCGTTTGAGGGGTGTGGACGAGGCTTCACACGGCGCTTCTGTTTGCTGCAGAGTATGTACATCTTCCTACATACCGTGAAGGGGACTCCCTTTGAGACTCCGGACCAGGGCAAGGCTCGGCTGCTGACGCACTGGGAGCAGATGGACTACGGCGTGCAGTTCACGGCCTCGCGCAAGTTCCTCACCATCATGCCCATCGTGCCGTGAGTACTCCTCGCACGCCCGCGCCGGTCACCGCCTCCGCTGGTGGGCCGTGCTGGGAAACAGGAACACGAAGCGCTATATTCAGTTTCCCTCTCTCTCTGTTCCCCTCCTTTCCAGGTATTTTCTAACCAGCTTTTACACAAAGTATGACCGGATACACTTCATAATCAACACCATCTCCCTTATGAGCGTCCTGATCCCCAAACTGCCTCAGTTTCACGGAGTCCGGATCTTTGGGATCAACAAGTACTGAACCGCGTGGCTGGAGGGAACGGAAGAGGAGAGAGCTCCCTTCTCTCCAGCCCCGTTTCTTCGCCCCCACGCACACTGGGATAGAATTTCACAGCGGCTGTTTAAACGCAGTGTCCCATAGACCTATACCGCATGCTGGATCCTCGTGCCCAATAAATCTAAACAAGCTCCAGAGTAGAGTTTAGCGCGGAGCAGGATGCACGACACTGGATTTCTTTTATTCCAGTGTCATAAATAGACGCAGATACACTGAGACTTCGAGGTACAACGAGGGTGAATCCTGGGGAGATTTTCATCTGTCCCAGAGGTTGAATGAAGTAAATAGGGATGAGGGGAAAAGCTTTTAGTGCTGGTACTATTGCTGTGGTAAATGCACTTTAAAATATATTTCCCTTTCTGAAGCTAGGTGCTTTAAGCGATACGTGGGGGAAATTCAAAGGGATACAGCCAGACTTTCCCAATACTTGATTGTTTTGGCTTTTGAGTTCCATTTTCGGGCGGGGGAGTGGGAAGAGAAAGATGGATTTTTATTTCACTTTTTTTTTACACCACTGAGAAAGGAAACTCTTTTACTCAAAAAGCACAGGAAGGAACGACCTGCAATTTGATAAAGCTTTCCATTTTCGACGGTACCATTCAGAGAAAAGACCAACAGATCCAAAATCATACCTGCTATTTTCAGCTCACACCAGAACCACTCTGGGTAACTGCGCTCCCCACCCCAAACCCCTAATTTTTAAGCGCTCTGGCAACGCAGCATTCGGGTGAAGGGCTGGGTTATTTTAATGATCAACAAGAAATGCCACCGAGCTGCTTGGTACACGGAAACTGCGCAAGCCTGGGAGAAGCTGAAGGCTGATGGGTACAGGCCAGGCGAGAGGCGGATGGCTGCTCGCTCTCCTCAGCGAGGGACTGTACTTGGCATTTTTCTCCTCAGTCCAGCTCCTTCGTCTCTTAAGCGTGTGCACGTGTTCCCGGGATCTGCCACTGGACTGACCTCGGTACCTGACTGTGGGCGAGTGGTTTATTTCTGCCCCACGCAGAGGTCGGTCACTCAGCTCAAGACAAGCGCTGTGGCAGCACCCCAAGCCCTCAGCTGACCGTGGAGGACAGCGGGAGAGCACCGCTAACCACACAGCGCCGGGCCGAACCCACCAACCCAAGGATGCGGCGAGTCACTCATCAGAGATTATTTACTAAGGAACAAAACCGAGCCTTTTTCCCCCAGAATTACCACCTCAATAAAGCAGGCTTGCAGGTTTAGATTTCCTGGCTGAGAGAGCTTTCTGGTGTTCGAACTAATCAGTTTTTCTTTTGGGTTGCACGCCAGATGGAAGGCGTTTTTCCTCACCTTCCCCGTAACCTCCCGAGAGCCTGTATTTTTGTTGTCCTAGCCCTTCTATTGCCTCACCCTTTTGACAATGGTATAAACATTTTAAATATGCGATTTTTGTTCCCGCATTCGAGCTTTGGAGATCCTAGTGAATGTTGTTGAGTTGTTTGATGGTCTGAGCATAGGACATGGATGAGGAAGGTTTGGGTTTGCGTGTAAGGTCTGGTACTACTCCAGGCACAATTTTAGGCTGCCTCAGACTTACTAGGGGAACATTGCAGAGGAGGGAGGAACACTCAGTGTACCACGGAGGGCTGCTGGAGGGCAGAGAGGATCATTACTTAGTACATTGGAAAAGTGGAAATATATTAAGTGAAAAGGAAGTTTTCAAGAAGGTAGAAAGAGGAGAGTCTGGCTGGGTACCCGAGCACTGCTCTCCAGCAACCACCATGATGTTGCTTTAGTTGAGGTACTCTAGGTCCTAAACTTAATGTACTCTTTAAGCTAGTAGACAATGACTTTTTGAAAACTGTTTTCAAACTAAGAGATACTTCATCAATCAGCTAAGTTCCTGTGAAATGGCAAAGAAATCCACAGCGTCAGTGCCCGCAATGGTTACGGAAAGGCTGCTGCCCTCAGAGGAGCGGGTCTGGCCGTAGCAGGGTGGCTGAGGCCGTGTCCCTAACGCAGGCTGGACGTTGCTGAACAGACCTCGGTGTCTGCCCAGGCCACTGGTATATCTCCAGAGGAAGGAAAACTAATTTTTGGTAGAATACAAGAGGAAAAACATCAACTGTTTGCAGCAGAAACAGTCTCAATACGCTTAAAAGTATCACCCCTATAGACAGGCATACTCTGGTTATTTCTAAGCATATGCACGATGTCAAAGCAGTTCCAGTATTTTTAACAGAAGTATCAATTGAAAGTAGGGTCAGTTCTTGGGGGAGCACAGCAGCTTCCCTGAAGGCCTTGGCATTACAGCAGCCGAGGGTTCCAGCGCGCGATTTGTGCTGTTAACTGACCCTAGGGACACCTGACTCAGTTCTGTTAAATCAAAGATCAACTGTAAAACAGAACGGGATTATAAATTCCTCAAAAAGGCATTTTTTAGAGCCTAAGGTCTAGAACTTCTCGCTAGGCAAAGCCTTAAGGACAATAGTAAGCTTTTCCCATTTACGTTGTTCACACTGAGATGATTACAAGTGTAACACAGGTAGGTGTTACGGGGCAAAGGACATTCTTTATGACACAGGAAGAGCATTTCTGCCACAGAATAACCACAATTAACTTGAGCCAATCAAAGAAAGCGTAAATGAAAACTAGAGAAATACAGAAAGAAGTGATAGAGCTGCAGAAAGATTTCATATTAGTAATGCAGTGTGTTAAGTACCTGCCTAAGATTAATAACTACTTGAACAACTACACATCTGACAGTATCTTCCTTAAGATCCTGTCTTAAAGGTAGGTATCAGAATTATGCAAAAACAGAAAAGAAACCATAAATTAATTGTAATTAAACTACAGTCACAATTGCTACTTGTTAGTTGTACCTGACGTACTTTTAGGTGAGTTTTGGGTGCTGCTGGTCAGACGTGCGCTGGGTAGCTCCTTCCCCTGGGTGTCACAGGCGAGCGGCACCAGGCTTGGTTTCTCGTGACTGTCTCCACTGCGGTGCCGTGGAAGTAACGGACACGGTTCTGGGACTCCTGGACCCCCTATGGAACCACTTCTGGTGTATTCACGTTTGTTAAACTCGTACAGAAGAGAGCTCTGCGCTCAAAAGCTCATCGTGCGCACACACAAGTTTAAGAGCAGAGTGAAGACACTAAAACTCTCGTGCTGTAACTAATTTCTGAGAACAGGGAGACGGGTTCAGCACGGGCAGGGAGGCGGATTTTCAGAGGTGTGCTTGCAGCAATCCGGGGGTGAAGCTGACCTTCTGCGTGGAGAGCCAGAAGGTGAGCTCAAGGACTGTCCATTCATTCTTCGAGACTGTAGAATTTTCTCCAGGTACCTGCACAAAGAAGATAATTGGTCGTTACTGATTTTAAATGGGATTTTGATCGCAGCACACTTTACGGATTTTCCTCTCCAACTCGTACTGGCTTCCATGTAGTGACTGGGGCCAACATCAGCTGGAGAATTAAAGGTGGACTCTGCCGTGTGACTGAGAAACCATTACTGGGTAAGCAGGTACTTAAGTGCTTTTCTTTTTTGTTCGGCCATGAATGCTGAAGGAGAAAAGCTTTGGAAAACCAGCCCCTGAACCACTCACAAGCACTGGCAGAAGCTCCTGTCCTGGGCGAAGCCTCTTGTAAGGCACTGCCAGGCCCACGTGTTCCCACCGGACGCCCGTTGCTGCACCCAGGGAGTGGGAACACCACTGAGTACCAACAGCCTGATGCTTCAGAATTCGGGATCCTGTCTCCTGATGCCTTGGACATAGCTGACAGGGCGTCATGCAGTCCAACCCTTTGCAGGAAAAAGCCTTTAAAAAAATAAAAAAGCCTGAGAGCTAGGGCTACTTAATTCCTGAGTGCTTTTTTTTTAGTAATTGTTTAATTTTTTCTTTAATAGACGCATGGTACTGGCCCTTTGAAAGGGGACAGCAGTTGCTTACCATTGTTAACGCATAAATATTTCTCATTGTGACTTAAATTGCTTTATCATTGCCTATAGTATCTTTTTAGCATGCAAGTGTGTGTATACGTATCCTCCTTGGATCAGTTCAAGTGAGCTAAATGAATTGTGGTTTGGGTTTTTTTTAATGGAACGTTTTGACATTGTACAAAGTTTTAGGGTTTTTTCCCCAGTCGCCCTTCTTTTTGCTGTCTACACAGACCTCTCATGTAGAGAACTTTCTAAAATAAAGTGTGAATATTTTTATTACTCCTTTGTACAGTATTCTAAGAGAAACTAATAAAGTAAGTATTCATGTAGAAAAATGGGTTTGATTCCTTGAATTTTTACACGGACAGGCTTTGCTGTTACGCAAGCACAGCAGACCAACACTCTGTGGCAATTCCAAGCCACTCAAGCGACCGACTGCAGGAAAGCGAAGAGCCCCACACAGCCCCAGCGACTGACAACCAGAGAGTACGGAAACGTGTGGCTGTCGCTGATCAGTTAAAGTCAACACAAGTGATTCCGGAAACATGATGCTGTTTCCTTGTCTACCTGACACCTAATAAAACTGCTCTCTCAGAACTTCAGTGAAATCCTTCTGAACTATAATACACGGCTCCTCACCTGAACAGATCAGAAGTATAAATGAAAACCAAATCCACACTAGAAATTAAACAATTCACAGGAATGGTACCTCAGTACAAGAAGCTCAGGTGATCCACAGCCACAACAGATCACAACAGGTTGATTCAGGTCAGGGACAGAAACATTTTAGAGGAAGAATTAGGCAAGCCACAATTTGCAGACACTTCCGGATCTCTGACTGTAAAAGGCAGAGCCTTTCCTCCAGCACCACAGCTCTGAAGAGGCCACATTTCTCCACAGCACACCGTGCGCTCCGCCAGCTGCCCGCCCACAGCAGAGCAGAAGCCCCTGGCTCCACTAACAGGCAAGTACATATTTAGAACTTTTGTACGGAAGAGGGGTGGAACAAACTGTCTGTTAGGTCTTCTTGTTCAGTTCTTCTCTCTTTTTGAAGTGTCCCACGGGAATGAGCCCTGTAAATGCAACTAAAATGATCCCACATTAAGCACTCGGGACTCTGTCCCCTCCCCAGCTCCATCACATCACACACCACCCTTTGTGATGGAACAGCCTTCCTACGGTCTGGAGGAATTGGACTAAGTCAGGTTTTTTCAGACCCTTGCGGCACACATAGGAGAGGGAAGACACCTCTCCTGCCATCCACTGAAAACAGGGCTCAGCACCTCTTCTCTAACCAGATATGATAAAATTGGGTGCAAAAGAGGGTGAAGACCTGCATGCTTTTCTTCTCAGTAAGCGCAGGAAGTTTTTTCGTTTGTAGATCTAAGTTCTTCATCGTGCCTTCCATAGGGCAACCAAAGCGAGGAGCAAAACCGAAAGTCAGGAGTAAAGAAAAGCTGCAAGAGGAAACCAACAGCAATTTCGTTTCTGCCTCTCAAACCCCCAGTTCTTCTCTACAGGGCACACACCAGTAGCTGTGCTGGGATGATTTTTTAATATTTTAGGGGATTTCTGCCATAGAACAAGGTCTCCTACTTTGCTCCTTAACTCACTAGTTTTGTCTCAGCACTTTCACTTCCTTGCAGAACGGCTTAGACAAAAACATTTTTCTAATGCTCTGCTTCAGAACAACGGCAAACCATCCCTGTCTGCCAGGCACAGGGTACACCAGGAAACACTGAAACAGTAAAACACAGCGAGATATTGCTCAAGGTTTTTAATGTTTAGGCTTAGGGCAGGGCAATGTCTTAATTAAAGCATTTAGGACCATGATAGGACCTAGGTTAAGGAGCAACGTCAGATTAGTAACGACAATTCTTATCGTAGGTACTGGTATATGCAAAAAAAAAAAAAAATCTTCATGGAAAGAAAGAACAGTAACGAACTGGGGCGCTGAAGATCGGTCCCCACAGGAAGCGCTGGCTGCCTTCTCAGCCCTGTGACACCTGGAGCTCACTAGCAAAGTCTGAACAAGCCTGCTAGCAAGCCACAGCTCAGACTCCTTCCCCTCCGAAGGCTTCCCTATACACAACCCTGTGAAAGTTGTCTCCTGGTATTAATGCAGCCTTTTTTTGGTTATTATCAATTTTGAAAAGTTCTTAATAATTAAAGTACCATATTTTGCTACAACCTTCCGCTTGTATTTCAGGTAATTTTACCTGTCTTGCCTCCTTTCTAAGGCACAAGTACACTTCGCTTCAGTTCAAAAAGTCATCCAGCCACAGCAGAATGTTTAAGAAAGTCACCAGATCCATAGCTCATCAGATGGATCCAGGAGGAGAACTGGTTCCAGTTCACAGCATCTTAGACCATGAAGATTTCAAACCCCTCTGCCTAGTGAGAAGAAAGACAAAAGCCATGTTCCGCTCCGGTCCCTCTTACAGACAGACAGGGTACAGCCTCAATGACGTGCTGCTGCCTGAAGAAGATGACGAAAGCACAGGTAAAGCCCCCATTTACCATTCCTAAGTTCACAATTCCCACTGACAAAACATCTGGACCATTCGTGCCTGAATTCTACCATGTTTGACCTTTCTTGTGTGCGCAAGCGTTGTAACGCTGAGTCTGTGTCGTCCCACCTAAGCTAACGCATTGAATTATTTCAGAGTCCCTCCTCAGCAGAGGTGACCAACTCGTAATCCAAAGAAGCGCCAGCGACACAGCTGACGGCAGCCTGAGCCTCCAGGCTGACCCTGCAAGCGTGGAGATGAAAGCAGCTGCCTCCTTGGCCGAAGCGTGGTCCATCAAGCTGGAGAACAACCAGATCCCAATACCAAAACTGGAGGCACTGACAAAGAGGTGAGGCAGACACGAAGGGAGAACGCACCCTCGTGTAATGCGAGAAATGACACGAGCACAAGGCTGCTGGCTCCCAGCAGGCTGCTGTACTTCTGTCAGAAATCACAGAAAACCAGTCGGGATGCTGCACCCTTTTTCTCTTCCAGAAAAATGAATGTGAATCACTCCTTCATTCAGCAAATAATGAAAACACAACAACACTTGTATGTGGTGCACGAGGCAATAGAAACCTCAGAGGAGACCAGATATGAGGAATCCACCCACGCAGAGGGGAGCTTCATGGCCCAGATTTACGCCAAGCTTTGCGTGAAGGTTGGATTTCTCTTTCAGGCTCAGGAGTCAGCCCTTCCCTGACATCCAGCATCCTGCATCCAGCCCCCTAACAGATCTTTTTCCCTCACCAGGGCACCCAACAGATCAAACAAAGCATCACTATCCCCAAGGGCTGCACCCTCGCCTTCAGGGTGATCGAGCTGGCCATTACAGAGGGATCGTGGGGTAAGTAACTTCCAGAAACTACCAACTCACTCCTCCATTCGGGAAACAATACGGAGGAGGAAAAACATTTTCTTAAGCCTCGCTCAGCCTCATGGCCACCCTTGGCTCATTTACAAGGACATGAACACACGCAATGATCAAAGCGGCCTCGGAAAAGGCCGTGTGTAGTACCTAAAAGAGCTGCTTGGGGAAGGAGATGCAGTTTGAGGCGGTTGACAAATAAATGAAAAAGGGGTACGGGAAGTTGCTTCTTAGCAAAAGACAGATGCACTGGAGAAAGGTGCAAACACCAGTCCGACCTAGGGCCAGCATGTCAGATTTCAAACTGGGGATACCAGTAGCTCCAGCCCTAAAACCAACACAGGTAAAAAGAATACCTGTGCAGCTTTAAGTACTTTTCTAAATCAGCAATGCCCCTTTTTGTCCTGTTGCAGGTCTTGTCTACAGCCCACATGGAAAGATATTACGCATCGTATCTGATGGTAAGCAAAGGATTCTGCTCCTTCTACTTGCACTTTTACCCCCCCTTGGGTAAGATGGAATCTCTCAGGACAAACATAACCCCCTAAAAGCGAGGTGGTTCCTGGACGGTTCTACCCATCACCTGAGACATGGCAACTGTCCAACTCAGAATTCCCTGTTGCTTTCGAAAATATTCATGGAACTGTTTCAAATTCTTAATGCAGGGGTGCTGGTGAACTTCTTGTGGGATTGCCTAGTTGAGAAGTAACATATTTGGACTCTTACCGGTTTTCAGGTTTCTCACCACAAAAGTTAAGACGACTGAAGGAAGAAGTTCAGAACCACTGTCAAATCCTTTCCCAGCTGTCTTCCGATATGTTCGTCACACTTTTAAAAGCCATCAAAGCAGTGATGAGAGACAGGAGCCTCTTTCAAGAACTGACCCACCAAGTAGGCAAAGGTCTTCTTACTGCCAGGCTTTGCAGCCCCCCAGACATCCCTGATCACACCTTGCCCCAGGAGTCATCTCTCCTCTGCCACAACTACCAATCCAAAACCCCTTCGCTCAGCACATCTGTCCAGAGAGAAGGTGCTCAGGACAGAGTCAGCTGCTGAGATATGTCCCAAATAGAGCCCAGCAGATTTACCTGGAGGTATCAAACCATTTAAATTTCATATCCTGTCTTTAGCTGGAGCCAGCGTGGGCGCTGAAGCCTCAATTACAGACTCGTTAATAACTTAAGGAGAGGAGAACACATATTGCATGACCATTCACATGCTCCTGTGGTTAGACTGCAGGTGACCATCAGCAGCCTTTCCTCTAAAACTCTGAAGTTACATTTTCTTACCCCCTAGATGGAAGCAGTTCTTGGTGAAGTCGGTAGCTGTGAGCTCGAAACAGAAAGCCCAGACGTAAAAGACCTGCTCAGCAGCTTACAGCGCCTTCCGAGGTCTGTCCTCCTTCAGCTGGCAAGAACAATCACCTACGCTCTCGACGCACTGGACGGTAAGGCTCTCGGGCCATTTTAACAGGAAAACCCAGTAGCACCAGAATATATTAAGACCATTCCTACCAGCGAGACTCGCAGAATATCAAAAACTTAAGAGTTTAAAACACCTGAAGAGCTTTTGGCCAAACAAGCATTCCCTGCACGACAGCCGATGGTCGTATCTCACCAGTTCTCTCTGAAATAACGGGGGTGGGGTTATTTTTTGGTACAAACCTGTTTTAATTCTGCAGAGCTAACAGAGGATCAGCAGCTGCTCTTGCTGGAGTCCTCGGAAGAGAAGATCACATCCCAACAGCTTCAGCTGGTGAGAGAACACGTATTGCATTTGGTTCAAAATGAAGGGGCCGGGGGGGTGTTATTTTAACTAAGGCGACATTTAGGTGGTGATAGAGGCAGCAGGATCTTAGCTTATGCTGGGAATAAGGGAAGGAATTATTGCTTCAAACTTGGCAGGGATCAGAATAATCACTTTGAGAGAAACCACCCCAAACCAACTATTTCTAACATCTCTTCTGCTGATAAAAAATATTAAATTGGATACCAGTTCTTCAAATGGTAGTCAGAACTTTCTGGCTCCTGATTCTAAAAAAAGCCCAAAACAAAATGCAAAAACACACTACAATTGCAATTTCTTGGACAGAACAAATTTGCAAGAAACTGGGAACTGAATACAGAAGCACGATAGTCTTTTCAAGGTGCAGAGTCCCACAAATAAATGGAGATTATTTAGTGGGCCCGTAAGATGGTTAATGTGCCCCGCAAGTCCAAGAGATCATTTACTTAATGACTTTCACAGATGTGAGTACTAAAACACTGACTTTGCTTTTCCTGTTATTGTTGAGAAGGTTGCAAGCATCTTGGAACACGAGCTAGGACGCATCAGTCGGTGTTTCAGCGTGGATGCTGGCTTGCTCTCCTTCTCACGAGAGGAGCAACAAAAATTAACCATTGCAGTGGTCGAGATGAGCGGAGTGAAGCTCCAGAAAGACGGATCTGCCACCTGCACAGAAGACGCCTTCTCAGCCGTAGCAGCCCTGTACGTGTCTCTGTACATCCTTGATCTTCTGAGTAACTCACATTAGGCCACACGTGTTCTCCCATTAGGGAACCACTTGCCAAGGTATTTTGAAGTCTCTTACTGCAAGCCAGTTTCTCTCTCCAAACTTGACCCCTAAATAGGTGAGAAATTCCTTACTAATGCTCAGTGCTGCTTTGAAGCGAGCGGGAAAAGCCGGGTTTTGGCAAGAAAACTCCTTATAGAAACCAGAATCTGGACCCCAAAATGTATTACTCCTTCCCCCCATACAAATGCAAAGCACCAACCAGAAGATCCACTAGCCCAAACCATCGCAAGCCTGTCAGCTGCATTTCACGTGAGCCTGATTTTCCTAAAAAAACATGAGCACACGGCCACTTGCGTGATCAACAACGCACAAAGGAACACGTCGGCAGGAATTGCCTTGCCCTGGTCACGCTTACGATTCACACGGGGCTCAAGAAGCCGCTCAGCACCGGGGAGCTGTGGGGCCTCCTCTGAGCGACACAGCACCTCCAACACGCAGCCCAGGATAAATCCCCGCCTTCCAGAATAACATTGCTAACGCTTTTCACGGCTGCTTTATCAATAAAGTGCAGTTTCTTACTGTTCTGGGTGTTTTTAGTGGCGATTTTGTGGCCTGCGGGTACCTTCAGCCGCCCAGCAGTGCCG